ATTTTTTTTTACTAGCCGCACTACGAAAACGGCCTCTAGGACATGATGCACTTTTGTGGTTTCAAATGGGTGCATGCCACGTCATATCTCAGATATATAAATGGTTAGCTTTTAAGAGTCGATGTCAAAATGCCGTATTTTACTAAAATACCCTAATTAAATCTGACCTAACTTGTATTGAAAGCCTTGATAAGAAAGACTGACCTGCAGAGAAATCAGAGTTTCGAGCAGAAGAGGTGTATGAGCGATGTGAATTCGAACCAGATAGGTTTCTTTTCTTTCGATCACTTAGGATCTGTTTGAGTTCTGCAAGAATCTCTAACTGTTTCTTGAGAATCTCTCCTCTTCCCACAAACTCTGTTTCTTTCGACTTGTGAAACTGATTCACTTTGTTTAGTTCTTCATCTAGTCTTGCGAAAAACACTTTAACCTAAAGTAACAATGACAAAAAGCGTTCAAATACTTATGATCAAACAATTATATATTTGTACTGTAAAAAAGCTCAAAATAAAGTAGTCTTATATTTTTATTATCATCAACGAAGTGGGTGTTATGCAATTTAGGCTAGCAATAAAACCACTATGTGCTATATGCAGTACGTTTATTTATTTGCTGCTTTTCCAAAGTAAGAAAAAAGAATACGTAATGGAGTATTATTTAATACTGATGATGATGTTAATAAACTCAACAAAATATAGGTCCTTAATTATTTCTAGTTTATAGTATGTAACAAGGAGTATTAATATGGCTAGTTTCTGAGCAAAAAAAGAGGCTAGTTATATAGAATCCAAATAATTAATAGACCAATATTTAAGTTTCATAACTAAATGTAATCATACCTCGTCTTCCTCGGAAAACAGCTGAACAAGCTCAGTTTGATAAATCTCCTCGATGTCATCACCATTTTCTGAGTTTTTTCTTCTCCTCACCTGTGAATATTCAGAAAAAATGACATAAGTACTGGTTTTCATTTAATTTAATCCAACAAACCATGTAGATATCATTTCTTTCTTTTTTTGATATTTTTTATACGTGTCATTGAATCGTATGTTTTTAGGGGTGGTGACTTGTGAGTTTGTTATGTCTTTATAATATGATTTTTCCCGTCACGATGGTTTCGTGAGATGTATCACAATCTTCACAACCGTTTTCGCCTCTTGGCTTTCGTGAGACCATGAAGAAAAACAAACCTTATTTTGGAATTAGTGATTATAAACTCTAAGATGTAGAGTAATAGAGTCTAATTCTCCGGAAAAAAACTATATATATTACAGATTTCAGGGTTACTTAATTTTTAGGGTTTTTCTTGATTTAGGAAAAAGGTAAATTACTAGGATAAGAAATTAGCTATACGGTCTAAATCATATGTATAATGATTGTTTTCCTAAAGAG